AATCAACTAGGAATGTACAGTTACTAGTTAAGTAAAAGCACCACTACGCCACGCCAGTTTACAAGTCCTCTATCTAGTCTAGACTTCACAAGATTCCACGCCACTACCTACACTTGACTAAAATTCTGGGCCATCCATGTTCACTTCGTCTTCTGCCTCGTCATCGGACAGAAACGGGTTGTCTTCCACTTCAGGAGGAGCCTCTCCCCCCACTCCCCCCTCCCCCTCTCCCTCATCCTCTGCCCAATCCCCCATGTAGTCGGGGACTGCCTCCTCCTCCACCCTCACTTCTGCCCCCTCAATCGCCTTCGCCTTACGCTTCCTCTCCGCTGCGGCAAACATAACAGACTTAGCAGGGCGCCTCAGCTTCTCGCGCCAACACTCAAGGGCCTCGTCCCAGTCAGTCTCGTACTGCAGCAGGGAAATGACCATCAGCTCGCTGAGGCGCGCATTGCACAACACGCCCCGCACCCATGACTTGAGGACGTTCTGCCGCGAGAAGCCTCGTTCACACTCCACTGTGCTCAACGGCAGGACAGCGCACGCCTGCCACAAGCGCATGAGGTTGGGCCAGCGACTGCCAAAAGGGTTGGGGGAATAGAGTACACGGAACAAGACCAGTGCATTAGCGATGCTAGTCAACAATCGATAACCAACATCCAAAGGGAAGAATAAAAGCGCAAAAAAAAAATGCAACAATCGTCCTTCGAGCAGCAATCTCTCACAAGGTCGACTCCGTCGAGCCGAGGTAGTTCGTCAGGCCTTGATGGAATCCCTCGTCGGCATGGTGGCTCAGCATCAGTGGCGCCCACGTGACCAGCTCCTTCTGCGCAGCTTGCAAGGAAAAGCCTGTCAGCCTGTTGTCGAACAAGGCACTGCAGCCATGTAGGTACTCCTTCAGCTTCTTCTCTCTCTGCTGCTTCATCCGGGGCCACTTCGACACGCGGAAGAGCTTCGTCGGGCCGAGATTGTTCAGGTCCAGCATCCTCGTCTTCAGGAAGCTTATCGTGTCCTTCGCGAACTGCGCGCAGAGCCGCTCGCAATCGGGGTACTTGCTGCGGAAGGCATGCCCGTCGATCTGCTTCTCGTGCATGGTGTAGGTGTGCGTGACTGGGTTGCCGTCTTTGTCGATGCCCCGCACCTTTACGCGTTTGCCCCCTCCGCGCCCGTAGACCGCCAAGAAAGCCGAAAGCCACGTGCCTTCGACACCCCCACCGAACACCTCTCCGCACTCCAAGTAGCGGTGGCGGAGGTCCCCTGTCGCCTCGTCGATGTCCTTTGTCACTTCGGTGACATCGACCTGGTGGAAGTGACAGACAAGGGAGTGGAGTCAGAGGGTGATTCCAAACGTGGATGCATGGGACAAAAACTACAACATTAACAGGGATAGAAGCTCACCTCCCTCTTCTGGAATTTGAGGTTGAGCTCATTCATCACTCCGAGCACGTCCGCCAGGAAAAAAGGACAGAACTGGAACTTGTAACAGATGATGACCTCATACAGCTCATGCCCGTACTCATAAAAGAGAATGATAGCGGCGCCAAGGACCTTACAGAGGCGCCTCACAGCCTCACCCCTTGAAAGCCAGCGCACGGTGTGAATTCCTTGCACTTCAAGGTTGGTGTTGTGTATTGCCCGCTGCAGGTACTTGAAGCGTTGACTCCAGACACAGGAACGTCCCAGAAGATCGGCCAGAGTCCGAATCACAAGGTCGACCATGTCGAAGTCTGGAGAAGCAGTGGCCGCATCCTTCACCGCCAAGGCTTCCCTGCATGGTGCACACGAAGGAATTTTAGACAAGCAGTTGTAGGAATTCTAAGCGACTGAAATGACAAGCGGTTAAACCTGTGGGCGATGCAGTGCGACGAGACGAGGTGGGGGATGTGCTCGCGAAGTCGGGCGACGAGACCATTGTCTCGGCCGACCATGACAGAGGCGCCGTCGGTGCTCATGCCGGTGATTCGGGAGAGGTCGATGCCAGTTGCTCGCAAGTGAGCCAGAAGAACGGCGAGGAGAGACGCGGCATCGCACTTTTCGACGGTCAGGAGAGCAAAAAACTCTGTGACAACACGATGCGCACGCAAGAAGGTCAGATAAACAATAAGATGTTTACCGCGAGTACGGTCTGTGCTCTCGTCGCAGCTGATGCCGAGGTAGGGTGAGGCGAGAATGTGTTGCATTTGTTGGTGCTGCATGTAGGATGCCAAGCTGCTGACGAGCTGACAGAAGCCATACTTGTAGTAGCAGAAGTAGCAACAGGGTGTTTGTTAGACCTATTTAAAAAGAGAAGGATTTGCTGTACTTGGAATCAGTGCACTACCGTGTCAAGTAGACTCCGTAAGACTGCAGCGGAATGTCTGGGGTCTCCTGCTCGGCCATGAAGCGGAGTAGCCTCGGGTACATGCTGATGGGTGCATCACACTTGCACAGGAAGTCTACGCAGCGTAGGAGCCTCATGGCACGCTTCCCCTCGATGTCAGTCCGCGCGTAATTCTCCATGCGTCTCTGGGTGCTGGCGATGTCTTCGGCGATCTCCATCTGACGCTTGACTGCTACTTCGTGGGCTGTCGTGTGTTCGTGGAACCGCATCGCTTGCGTCTGCAGGTTACGTGCCCTGTTGCGGCTGTTGGAGTACGGTGTTGTCTCTTTGCCGAAAGCCTTGCACACACTGCACTTCAAAGCAGGGTAACCGTCTTTCGTTTTCGTTAGCAGAAGCCAAGGGAAAAATGGAAGCCAGCAAGTCTTATACTTGTGCTCAGCCATGAGATACTTCTGTTCGATGAGTTCCTTCTTTGAGAGATTCGGCGGCTCAGGTTCTGGAATACCAGGGGCCTGAGGTTCAGGCGACGTGCGAGGCGGCGACCGTCGATGTAGCTTCCCGCCGAGGACTATCGTGCTCTGGGTGTACTTCCCGACGCGTGCTTTCTTCCCAGATGAAATCGTCGACGCACACTCGACCGTGTAACGCACGGTCGTGGCTGTCTCGCAGTCTGGAACCAAAGGGCCCCGGCTAGATGAGGCGACAGCGGGCGGAGGTACATAGGGAGCGGCGGGAGTAGATACGGGTTGTGATGGTGTAACGTCTGCGGTGGGAGACCGCAAGATGTCTAGAGCGGATCTACGGACCTCCATGGGGGGGTCCCTACCTAGTCCAGAACCATCATCGGCAGTGGGAGACTCACCAGAGTCTCCTACATCCGCCATGGCTAGAAGCGGCGGATATGATGGAAATGAGAAATCGGCGCGACGAAACTAGAGGAGACAGAAGACTGGAGCATCTCGTAGCTGTGACGTGAAGAACAGAAAAAAACTGGGTTGGAGGAGGAGCTGGTGAAGAAGACGGGAAGAGGACCAAGAAGCACCATCTTTCGATTTTCATGGATGGTGCATAACCCATCCAGGTTCCCGTATCGCCATGGCAATAACGTCAACGGCGAGACGCACCTGCGCTGGCATCGTCTGCACAGAGATGATTGGCGGGGTGATGTCATACAGAGGCTGACATTGCCGCGCTCATCATATTCTGTCCTCGTCTGCTGCGTGCTGAGTCACGAATGCCAGTTGACGGTTGCAAATGTTGCTGTAATGGCAACATACAGCGTGTTCACGGCGGGAATCTTGCCGAGTGCAGATTCCCCACGTGACGCAGGCTGGGCGTGTTCAATGGACTGGGCCCCGTCACGCGTAAGGGGGCCATTTCGAGGAAACTCAGGGTCCGCATGGATGTCGCATTCAGCGTTCGTATGCGTTGCTCCTTGAAAACTCAGTGTTGGGATAACGCAAACCCTGAAATTTTCAGTGTTCACAAACATACAACCCTGAAGAGGTTAGGGTTCAAAAAAACCCAACCCTGAAAATTAAGGGTTGGCAAAAAAAAAACCCTGTGAAATCAGGGAATCAGGGTAAAATACCCTGATAACGACAGCCCTGTCAAGCACCCCACCCCACGTGAGAACCAGGGTCTTGCAGGAAAGACGGAAACGTAAAAATTCCAAGTCCAAATTGCGGGCGACAAAGTTTCTTGCTTAAATATGCTAGCAGCAATATGCTTGCCATAGTGGAAATGTGGTCGAAATGTGAACCTCGCGATATCTACATTCCCCGTAACATTTTTCCGAGCATGTACAGAAGACGTAAAAAGCGCGTGTTAGGGCAAAATGAACGCGCTGGACACGCCCTGAGCCTTCGTATGACGGTCAGATGAAAGTTCAAAGCCAAGTCTGATTTTCAGACGGCTGAAAATCCTAGCAGAGTCCCTGATTTGGACGCTTAGCGGTTTTGCTCGTTTGTAACCCGCAACCGCTAATTAGTCAAAGTGCTGCAAGTTTCATCATCTCATGCAAACAGACTAAGCAAATACATTTCTCTGAATTTTCAGACATTCGTTCTAGAACTCTCTGAAAAATCAGACATTTTTTTCCTACTTCTCTGATAGTGAAAAGTGCATCAGACAAACTCGCAAACCGTGTCTGATTCCTCAGACACGTTTTTTTCCAAAAGAGAACCCTGGTTACCACCCTTGCAGTCGCAACGGTCAATCGCAACCTCCGGTTGCGACCCTTCGTCCTTTCGTATTCTTTCGTTCAACCTCCTCGTGTAACCTCCGTCGACTCGCTTACCCGATACGACTTTCCTCGAGTGTAGTGTTACACTTCAGAAACGCTCAAGTCCTCGAGATATTTCCAACATGATATGTAATTTTTTGAAAGCGTGTAACACTTTCTAAAAAATGTGTATTGTGAAAGTGTAGCGAGGGCCAACGCAGCAAGGTCAGCGTCGAAGCGCTACTCACCCTCTTTTGCCTACAAAAGAGGGACGTGAGGCCATTCGACCTCACCCACGTTCTTCATTTCTAGTTCCAGTTTCGTTTTCCACACCCACCCACCCTATTGGACGGTGTAGTCCATTGGACGAGAACCATGTACTGTAGCCCATATGAAATGAAGCACGCTGCCTTTGCCCCATATGAAATGAAGCACGCTGCCTTTGCCAAGGTGACCCAAGCAAGCTTTCACAATTGAGCAATCAAGAGAGCGAGCAATCAAGCAATCAATCGGCCAGAAAGGCGCGCGCTGCAGTGTGCTTGAGAATAATAAATAGAAAACCAATGGCAGGCAGATAAACTGGGCCCAGCAGCAGCACCAGCAGCAGCAGCAGCAGCGACATGTCTTTATGCTGGGCTGGGGCACTTCGATGGAGAGGCAGGTTTCTGTGGTAGCTAGGAGGAATACACCGAAACACTAGCGGCACCAGCACCAGCACACCAGCAGTACCAGCAGCACCAATCAGTGCCTTGATGACGGAGGGACCGGGTTTGCAAGCAGCACCATGAAACGGAGTGCTGTGAACGCTGGTGGCTTGCTGGGCAAGCGAACGAGCAACACACCAATGGGGCTGCAACCGTCAACTAGACTGCAACCGCCCAACTGGACTGCAACCGCCAACTGGACTGCAACCGCCAACGGGGCAGCACTGTGGGGGGCTTGCAAAGCCCTAACACTGCAGCCAGCGGGACGGTCTTGACTCTTGGGGCGAAGGAACGCAAGCTGCAATGGCTTCTTCAACCATGATTCCGGTGACACGCGGGGGGGATGGTCGTCACCACCACCACCATCAGCATCACCATGGCCGCACAGCATGATGGCCAGTCACCATCGCAATCGCAATCGCAATCGCAATCGCAATCGCAATCAGCTCTGCCATTGCCATCTCCATCACACAGCATGATTCCTGTATACAGTAAATGCCATGCCATGCCATGCTGCCAAGGTGCTGCAGAGGACGGAAGCTGCCATGAGTGGCCCGCGTGAGGCAGCTGCATCAGTCTCAGCCGAATCGGGCCTGTATGTATTGGGTCCACTCCACCCCACAAGAGCAAGAAAGAAGTATAGTTTTGAGGTGCAGTGGACCTCAAATCTCCATCCACTCCACGAGCCAGATGAGCCTCAAGAGCCGCATGAGCCAGATGAGCCTCAAGAGCCGCATGAGCCAGATGAGCCAGATGAGCCACATGAGCCAGATGAGCCAGATGAGCCAGATGAACCAGATGAGCCAGATGAGCCAGATGAGCTAGATGAGCCAGATGAGCCAGAAGGGAACAAACCCACAGACCTACAAACCCAGTCTCGCATTGCTGACGCGATGGGCAGGAAGGAGCACGGCCTGGTAAAGTGGGTGCGAATTGCTCCCAGAAACACTGCTTCACTGCTGCTGCTGACAACGTTGAAGCGTCACTGCTCTACCGTATTGTTGCCATCATGTTGCGAGACTCACGTCGTCTACGGCATGTGTGCCATCAGCAGCAACAGCCCCAACAGCCCCAACAGCCCCAACAGCCCCAACAGCCCCAACAGCCCCAACCAAGCACCATCCCTGCAGCTGCAGCTGCAACTGCTGCTGCTGCTGCTGCTGGTGTCATTAGAAAGCCACCAATGCACAAATCACAACTGTTAAGGAGTTGCCACCACAATTACCAGCCCTGCTCGCACCCGCTATTCACACAGTTCCACCATCCACTAGCGCTCATGTGGCCTTCGCTGCTGCACTCACTTATCCCCACTCCCACCACTCCCACCACCACTGCTCTCACTGCCACCACCGCTGTTGCCACCGCTTCTGCCACGGTTGTTGCTGAATATCCCAGCAGGGCCAGTCGCCGGCGTAGAAACACTGGAAGCACTGGCATCGCTGGTGTTGCTGCCGTTGCTGGCAGTGCCATGTGCACGAACAGCACGCCTCATGGAAGGGTGCTTCTGCCCCTGCCCCGGGCTCAGGCACAGGGCGACAGCAGGTGCAGCACTGGCACTGGCACTGCTGGTGCTGCTGGTGCTGCTGCTGCTGCTGCTGGTGCGGCTGCTGGTGCTGCTGCTGCTGCTGCTGGTGCCTGTGGAGCTGGCAGGAGAGGCACTTTCCACCGACCAGAGGAAGGATGCATATGCTGCCAGCACGTAGCTGGTGGGGGGAGGGGGGAGAGGGGGGAAAGGGAGGGAGAGGGAAGGGAAGGGGAGGGGGGAATGACGAGCATGGTAAAACACGTAGCATGACGTAGTCAACTGCACAGACCCAGCCACTCAGACGCTCACACCTTCAGAGGATCACATGGTCACATGCTCACATGGTCACATGGTCACATGGTCACATGCTCACATGCTCACACGCTCACATGGTCACGTCACACGTGGTCACATGGTCACGTGGTCACATGATCACGTGGTCACATGGTCACATGGTCACGTGCTCACATGGTCACATGCTCACATGGTCACATGGTCACATGGTCACATGGTCACATGCTCACACGCTCACATGGTCACGTCACACGTGGTCACATGGTCACGTGGTCACATGATCACGTGGTCACATGGTCACATGGTCACGTGCTCACATGGTCACATGCTCACATGGTCACATGGTCACATGCTCACATGCTCACACGCTCACATGCTCACATGCTCACACGCTCACATGCTCACATGGTCACGTGGTCACGTGGTCACATGGTCACATGGTCACATGGTCACATGGTCTCGTGGTCACATGATCACGCGGTCACGTGGACACGTGGTCACGTGGTCACATGGTCACATGGTCACATGCAGCCACTCACATGAAGCCACTCACATGCAGAGCCAGTCAGAGGCTCACCAGTCGTCAGGGGCCACCTCAACTGCGTGGTCAAAGAGCGCCAGCGCTCGCTCGCCGTCGCGCCACCCCTCCCACACTGCTTTGGCCCACAGCACCAGCACCTCCCCCTCCTCCACCCCCGTTATGCCCTGCACCCCAATCACTCCTCCCTGCACTCCTTTCACTCCCGCGCTGCTTCCTGTGCTATTTCTACTCCGTTCCACTCCCGTTGCCCGCCCTTTCACACGAGCCCGGCCCTCTGCTTGGCTGGCTGCAACTGCCCGCCGGAACATTTCGTCTGCCCGAGGATAGTCCCGGATCTGGAGGATGGGGAGTGGGAGGGGTGGGGAAAAAGGGGAAGGAGAGAACTTTAGGGGAAGAGGATTGGGGGAGGAAGATTGGGGGAGGAAGATTGGGGGAGGAAGATTGGGGGAGGAAGGGGGAGGAGGGACGATGAGGTAGGAGCAGCGGGGGAAGATCAGCAGTGTAACCAGAACGCACACATATTCACTGGTAATGATATACGTGAGGACACATCAGCACACATAAGCGCACATAAGCGCACATAAGTACACGTGAGCGCATATAAGCTCACTTATGCATGCACATGAGCCCATACGCACCCATAAGCACCCATAAGCGCACATAAGTGCACATAAGCGCACATAAGCACACATAAGCACACATAAGCACACATAAGCACACACATAGCACACGCACACGTGAGTACGCAAACGCCCATGACCACATGCGCGAATGCAGGCGCGCGCGCGCGCGCGTGCGCGCGCACACACACACACACACACACCTCACAGAGGAAGCGCGCATAGTCGCACAGCAGCAGCGCGTTCGTAGGGTCACTGTGCACGGCCCGCATATACTGCTCATCCTCCCCCTCCACACTCGCCGCTGCTGCTCTCCCCACTGCCGGCCCCTCCATCATCGCCCCACCTCGCATCACCGCACCCTCCTCTCCCCGTCCCTCTTTCCCCACTCTCCCGCTCTCCCCTCCTCTTCTGCCCTCTTTGCCTGTACCAGCACCATAACCCGCAGCGGCAGATTCTGCACCGCGTATCTCTTCCCTCCCGGCCCTCCCGGCCCTCCCCTCCCTCTCGTCCCTTCCACCCGTCCCCGCCCTTCCCTCCCTCCCCTCCCTCGCGTCCCTCGCCTCTCTCGCGTCCCTCCCGCCCATCGCCGTGCTTCCACGTTCGTCTCTCCACCAAGAACCTGCCTCATTCCCATCCTCCTTTCTCTCCACTTCCACCATCCCCTCCCTCCCCTCCCTCCCCTCTTCCACCATCGCCGACCCATTTCCACCCCTCCCAACCGGTCCACTGTCCCAAGCCCCATCTTCCCCCCCTCCCATACCCGCCCTGGGACCCGCCGCTCCGCCTAGCAGCTCCCCCTCTCCCCCAACACCTCCCCCGGCAACCCCCCCCAGTAGCTCAACCCCGCCTCCGCCCATTCCCAGCACCGCGCCTTCCCCCACCATCTCCGCCAGAGCCCCCCCATCCGCGAGCCTGCCCGCGCCGTTGGGCAGCTGCGAAAGGCTCTGGGGCAGCCCGTGGCGGTCCACAAAGCTTTCATCTACCCGCACGGGACGGCAGCCTCTGGCATTACACACGACGGACATGCCGTTAGCGCCCACATCCACGCTGGTGAAGCCCTCGCCGTCCTCCGCGCGGAACAGGTACTGCCCCGGCCCCTTGCCCTTCACCACCCGCCCCGCACACACCGACCCCACGCCCGCAGCCCCTCCTCCTGCCATGCCGTCCCCCGCCACACCTTCTTCTGCCATGCCTTCCCCAGGCACACCTCCCCAGGCAATACCTCCCCCTGCCACACCTCCCCCTGGCATACCTCCCCCTGCCGTAGCTTCCCCTGGCTTGCTCACTCCTGCCATGCCTCCTCCTGCCATTGCCAACCCTGTGGCTGCTGCTGCGGGTGCTGCTGCTGCTGCTTCAGGAGCTGCAGCAGCATCCGTCAAAGGCACCACGGCGCCGTCATCCAACGCGGCTTTTGCCAGTGAGTCCACTTGACGTGTCTGCGTGTGTGTGCCCGTCGTCCGCTGCGCTGCTGCTGCTTGCCCCACACGAGGATCTGCCCCACCGCTGCTTGCTCCTACACCCTCCTCCCCCTCCTCCCCCTCTTCCTCCCCCTCCTCCTCCTCCTGTTTCTCCTGCGAGCCCTGCATGCCTCCCTGGGCATAATGCCCATCACCTATCAGGGCACCTGCCTGCGAGCCTGGCTGGACATTCACCTCGCCCTCTGATAACTGCGGACTGCTGGGCTTGACCGGGTAGTCCGCACCTTCCTCCGCCTCTCCCCGTGCGCCGCCTCTTCCCGCGCCTCTACTCGCCGCCACTCCCCCCCGCGCCCCTCGACTCGCCCCCCTGGCCGCGAACCCAGTGCCGGGGGCGATCCGCGCAGCAGCGCAGTCAACCGAACTAGAGGCGTCAGGAGAAGCAGCAGCAGCAGCGGCAAGACTAGTGCCAGCAGTTCCAGCAGTGCTGCTAGCAGAGCTAGCAATGCCAGCAGCGTTCACAGCATGAGCCAATCCCGATTCCCCACCTCCGCCGCTCGTCACGGCACCTGCCACGGCCCTTCCGTCCCTCGCCTTGCTCACGGCACCCGCCCACTGCCTCTCCCTCTCGCCGCCTCCCCTCACCCCTCCATTCGCCCTGCCGTCCCCCGTCGTCCTCCTCCCCTTGCCTCTCCTCCGGCTTCTTCTCCCCCCCACTACCGGCTCGTCCGCGGAGCCTATTCGCTCCGCATCTCCCGCCGCATCCTCCGCCCCCGCTCTCGCCGCGGCGCGCGTGCGCTGAATGGGGCAGACTCGGGTCCGCCTTACGACGGCGGAACTGGGGCCTTGCAGATCGAGTCCCTCCACCCGCCACGGATCGTGCAACACGTCTAGTACCTCGTCTGAAGTCTCCACCTCGTCTGAAACGTTACCTGAAACGTTGACTGGAACGTTGACTGGAACGTTGACTGATTCGTCGCCAAGATGCTGGGAGACATTACCCAGTTTCTCGGATTCGATGCTGTTGATCTCATGAGAAATGCTGTCCGTCAGTTGGACCAGCGTTTGGGACGTCACGAAATCCGTCTCAAACGACAGCACCGAGGGCTCGTCGTCCAAAGCGACATTAAAACCATTATCATCACCATGGTTACCATCGGCGGCGACGGCGGCGGCTGCCTCGGCGGTCGCAGTGGACGCGACGGCGGAGGCGCAGGTGCAGTCATCGCTGGAGCTGCAGCTGCTGCTGCTGCCGCCGCTCTCCGCCCTGCTCGCATCATTGTCGCCATGGCCGCCGCTCGTCACGGCGCCACCCGCGCTGCTGCCAGCAGCGCTTCGCCGTCTGTCACGAAACGAAGCCCGCGACAATAAAGACCCTTCGCCAACCGCAAGGCCGCCGCCTTTTCTCCTTCCGGCCTTCCTGCTCTTACCAGCGGCAGCCGCATACCCGCCGCCACTACCGCCGCCGCAGCTGCTGACACCACCGCCGTTCGTTTTTACGTCGCGGAAGGTCGTATGTTGGCTGCTTGCGCCGTCGCGCCGGCCGTCCTGATGGACGCTCAGCCGGTCGCCGGCTTTCCCAAGCGGTGAGGCCGAAGAGAGCGAGGACAGCGACGATGCGGCTAGCGACGCGGACTGCGACGCGGATGCTACGTGCAGAACAGGCGGCGCGATGTCTGGAAGATTTGGATTCGGGCGTCTGCGAAACGGCTTCAAGTGACGCGCCTGGGCGATCTCTTCCCGGAGGCTGGCTTCTGGAGGGAACCGCAGCGAGAGAGGACGCGCCACGGGTGCAGCCATGGGTGAAGCAGGGAAGGAGGATAACGCGTCTGTCTTTCCCCGCTCCCTTTCTCGGAGCACCCTTCCTTTCGACAGTCCCCTTGTCTCCGGCAACCGCTAACTGCTTCCCCGTATGCTTGCTTCGTTTCTTCGCTTCTCGCAGGATTTCTATCTACGTCTGCTGCGGCGAAGACGTATCTTGAGGCGCCTTATGACGTGTCAGAATCGGGGAAGGCGGTCAGAATCGGGGAAGGCGGTCAGAATCGAGGAAGGCGGTCAGAATCGAGGAAGGCGGTCAGAATCGAGGAAGGCGCCGCAAAAGTCGTGTGTAAGAATGCAAGCAGTCAGGGTGCTAGATCTTAGCGGCAGGTAGCGGCACAGACAACATTGAAGAATCTCGTGAGCCACGGCTCGCCGACATTCAAGGGGACCGTCCGAAAGGCCAAAAGGAGACTACAACTGATATTAAAACTTCCGTTACGCACATTACGGAAGCATGAGCACCGACCTACAACTCGGGATTGCCGTTCTGCCGTAGCTAGGGAACGTGGGGAAGGCTCACCACGCCGCTGGGCTTGTACGATCAGGGAGGGGACAATGGGACCAACGGAACGGAGTTGCGAATGTTAGGTGAACATGAATGGTGGAAGATGGACCTGAGTTAGGTCGTCATCGTCCTGCTGTTGCGATGCGAATGAATGGTGGAAGATAGGCAGAGCAGGGCTCTGTACGATACAGTGCAAGAACTACAGTGAAGCAGCAGCGAGGCGAGAGAGGTCTGCTCTGCTCAACTGCTGCTGAGAGCAGCGAAGCAAAGCACACAGCTTCTGTACAGAGCAAGAGCTACAGTGTAGTTTCTATTTCTAGCTGTCACCCGTCTTTCCATCCAAAATCTCATCTTGAGCTGCCCTGACTACCGAGCTAGATGTGGACACGCGAAGTCACGAAACCACACGGGCGATTTGCATGCGAGTGTTGTTACCTTCAGCGAGTATGTGAACGCCCTCGAGATGTGCCCATCTTTTTGGGACAAATATCCATGAAAACTCCACGAAAGCTCATATACAGTACGTCCCTCAGGCTCTACACGAGAACACGACACACACCACAACGTCGTTATCCAGGTAGCTCTGTTACACAAACATTTACAAAGCTAAAAATACAAGTAGCTCTAGTAATGACCGAATGATTACAATGGCTAACTCTGACTTTGTTCACTTCTGCTCACATGAATTACCAACTCGAATTTAGCAACTCACCGACGTACCGTAAACAGAAGTAACACTACATGCACCGGCAACCTAGAACCGAGCCACTAATTCACAGCTTAGGGGGGCGACATGGGGCCAGCACTAGCGGCTCGAACAAAACTTTCCAAAATCGGGCCAACCTGCAAAGGTGTGTGGTGCACAGCATTATAAAGGCGAGAAAGGAGAGGGAAGCAAGAAACGCAAAGAGGTGGGAGAGCGAGAGTGGGAAGAGAAGCCTTTCAAGGGTGACAGGGGGTAGGGGTGGGGGGGGAGGGAGAAACAAAAAAAAGGGGCCCTTGGGTACCTCTGCATCGTTGAGGAATGTGTAGATGGCGTGCGGGTTGTCCTGCATGTCACTAATTGCTGCTCCGCATCACACACATGGAGAGAGAGACACACATGGAACGGACACAACAGGGACAGACAGAGCACATGGGAGAGAGGAGATCGACAGTCAGATCAGAATGAAACGCATGGAGCGAATGAAGGAACCACGTGTATGAACTTAGACAGCAAAAAACAAACTCAACAGCTTGACTGACCCTGCCGAACGCGCGGGTTTGTCAACCCGTGCCGAAGCATCTCATTCGCCATGGCCCACAAAGCAGCGCCCTCCACATCCATTGCTTCCTCCTCCCCCTCCTCCCCTCCCTCCCCACCCTCCACACCACCCCGGAAGGCATCCCTTGCTGCTTGGTGTGGTTGCGCGGAGGAGGAGAAGTGCGACGGGGAGGGCGAGGGGGAGGAGGAGGAGGCGCCCATGATGGTCTGCAGAGCCATCATCCGATTCCATGCGCGCACTGACCGCTCGTCCTGACAGGGATAAGAATGGAGATGGGATAAGACACATGGGAGTGATGGCGGTGGAATAAGATACATGGGAGTGATGGCAATGGGATAAGACAAGGGGGAAGGGAGGATAGGAGCAGGAACTGAGACCATTTAATGGGGGCCCAAGGGCTGACTGACACTGAGAGGACAGACGGATTTACGGTGGATAGTACAGGAGGACTAGCACAAATGATGGCTGACGTGCCTGGCGGACCACTCAGAAAGGCGAGAATCTTTCAGTTGCAAGCTGACCTAAGGATAGGGAATGAACAGAGCGCTCATGCATAAAGGTTGTCAGATTCATTCACATGCATGCCCCACTCACATGCATTCCCCACTCACATGCATGCCCCACTCACATGCATGTCCCACTCACATGCATGCCCCACCCACATGCATGCCCCACCCACATGCATGTCCCACTCACATGCATGCCCCACCCACATGCATGCCCCACTCACATGCATGCCCCACTCACATGCATGTCCCACTCACATGCATGCCCCACCCACATGCATGCCCCACTCACATGCATGCCCCACTCACATGCATGCCCCACTCACATGCATGCCCCACTCACATGCATGCCCCACTCACATGCATGCTCCACTCACATGCATGCCCCACTCACATGCATGCTCCACTCACATGCATGCTCCACTTCACATGCATGCTACACTCACATGCATGCTCCACTCACACACATCTCCCACTCACATGCATGCCTGCGATCTGAGCCCATGCCTCTGCCAAGTCAGCAGGCAGACCCTCCTGTGATTGCTGAGAGCCTGCGGACGCCCCTGCCGGTGCCTCCCTTGCCCCTGCACGCGTTCCCTCCTGCACTGCTGCTGGTGCGCCAGCCATGGCTACATCCCCGGCAGCTGCTGCTGCTGCTGCTGCTGCTGCTGCTGCTGGTGCCTCGCTACTCACCCCTGAACCCGTTCCTCCTCCACCGCCTGCCAGTGCTGAGGATGCAGGGGGGTCAATTCCCGCCGCTTCTCCTGGTGCTGATGCTTCTACTACTCCTGCTGTGGCGCCTGCTACAAAAGGCACGCCTTCACAACGTGCTGCAGCAACCCGATCAGCACCACTCTCACCACCACTACCATCACCACCACCACCACCACCCGCACTAGCACCACCACCCGCACTAGCACCAGCACCAGCAACAGAGCCCCCTGCTCCGTCACCAACGCCCCCAGCAGCACCAGAACCACCCGTGCCACTTCCAGTCACAGCCCCTGCCGCTGCCCCTGCTCCCTCTGATCCCCCTCCCCCAACCCCCCCTTCACCTGCTCTTCCTGCCCCTCCTGCCCCGCCTGCCCCTCCTGCCCCTCCTGCCCCGCCCCCGCCCCCGCCCCCAGCAGCAGCAGCAGCGGCAGCAGCAGCGGACTCTGCCTGCAGCACTTCCTCTTCCGCGTCTGGGTTCTCTATCAGCCACTCTACGGCAGGGTCTAGGCGGTTGCTGCACCGCATTGAAGAGAAGGGGGAGAGAGAGGGGGGGGGGGGGGGGGGGTGGAAGAGATGAGAAAAAAGGTAGGACGGGAGGACGGGAAGATTGGAAAAAAAAAGGCTTGGGAGGGCGGACAGGCTAGAGATACCATTTGTTATGTGTGTGACGACAATGGGGCAAAGAGAGCACAGGAGCGAAGCAGGAAAGAAAGAAAGGGCACTAAAAGGGTTCAGACAACCCAAGCAGCTGCTCTGTATGGTTTCAGGCTCAGCTGTGGTAACCCGGAGAACAAACGGTTACAGGGTTCACCTGTGGTAACCAGGAGAACAAACGGTTAGAGAGTGCACAAACCGGTGTAGCTCCAGCGCGTGACGGGCCATGAGGCGAGGGAAGCCCATTTCCACAAGGCGATCCAGCAGCACAGGGTCTGCTACCACCCGCACCCGCTGCTGCTGGGTAGGGACGGGTGGAGAAGGCCGCGGGGGAGGGGGGCAGGAACGGGAGGAAAAGACGGGATGGCAGACGGTGTGCAAGAGAGAGGCGGGGGGAAACAGGACGGACGGATGGATGGAGGAGCGGCTCTGCATGCTCTATACTTACAGCGGCAGCAGATCCACAGACATTCTTCCAGTGAGTAGAGCAGCAGTGGTTTTTCTGTTTTGCAAAAAACAAGCGAGCTTCCGTTCACCACTGCACACTAGAAGAATGTCAGTGGATGGAAGAGCGGCTCTGCTTGCTCTATACCAGCGGCAGATCCTCGGACATTCTTCCAGTGAGTAGGGAAGCAGTGGTTTTTTTTTCTAAAGCCAGCCAGCTTCCGTTCACCACTGCTCGCTGGAAGAACGTCAGTGGATGGAGGAGCGGCTCTGCTTGCTCTATACTTACCGCGGCAGCTATGGCAGCGGCAGCAGCGGCTGCAGCAGAAGTAGGCATTCCAAGGCCTGTGGTCGCAGCAGCAGCAGGGGGAGGCAGGGGAATACCCCTCCTGGCGCACTCTGCTTCAATGGCCCGGTCTATGCTCTCCCTCGAGGGAATAGTCTCTGCTGCTGCTGCTCCTGTTGCTGTCCCTGCTGACGAATCAGGAGCCGCCAGCTGGCATGGTGCCGGGGCTCGAATGCGGGCAATAACGAGAGTGTCTGTTGTAGGGGTGAGGGGTTCACAGAGGGACGCCGGACAGAAAGAGGAGGGGGGGAGAACGGCGAGGGGGAGAAGGAAGAAGCAAGGGGGGGGGGGGGGGGGGGGGGAAATCGATTGAATTTGTAAGACGTCTAAAAGCTCAGGGGTGAGGGGTTCATGGATGGACGCCCGACAGAAAGAGGCGGGGGGGGGGAGAAAGGCGAGGGGAAGAAAGAAGAACCCGACGGGGGAGAATTCTCCCACAAACTCACCCCCATTGTCCACTCCGCACTCTCCGAGTGTCAGAAGCTTCGACGAAAGCACCTTTGGCGGGATTCTCCCCGCCCCCAGGTAACCCCTCCCTTCCGCCACCTCCTTTCCGCCCGCCTGCCTCTCTTGCGCCAATGGCCCCGCGGCCTCCCCTGAAAGACCCGCCGCCGGGGGAGCAGCGGAAAGGGGGACGTGGATAAGGCGCACGTCCCGCGCGGGGAGGTTTGGGGGGATGAGTCCGCGGGTTTGCAGCTCGGCGCGCAGCTTGTGGATGGTGATGCCACGTGGCACGCGCACCGGCTGCACCGCGCCATCCAGCAGGCGCACGCGCAAATCCATGGTCGATCCCGCCAGGGCTGGCGCCTGCGCTTGCGGTTGCAGTTGCGGCTGCGCTTGCGCTTGTACTAGCGCGGTTAGCTGATGGGCGGAGAGGAGTTGCGGTGGTGCAGGAGAGGCGGAGGAAGGGGGGAAGGGGGTGTGCGAATGGGGGGGATTTTCCGCATGGTTGGTCATGGCGGGCTGGCCTGCAACCAGTGACGCTACTATCAGGTGATTAGACGAGAACTAACACGAATCATGCTTCTAACGGGGGCCCGTCAAGAAGGGAAGAGTGAACGATTGTGAAAGGAGTGATTAAAACGGGGTTTACATGAGTCGAGGAGTATCAGGTCATGAGAAGCCGTGATGGTTAGGTCAACAGGCGAGGGAAAGGAAGACAGGAGCTACGAAAAAAGGGCGATGGGGGCGGCGCGTTGGCCTGCTGGTTAGGAACCTTTCACAAGCGCGAGGCGACGGGACGGGAGAGGGGTTATGACGCGCGAGGCGTTAAGACTCTTAAGATACTGCGAGAGCGAACGGGACCAGCCAGGCAGCGCTTTCGGATACTGTCGGTCTGGCGCGGAAAATGCGTAGGAAAAGCAAACTACGGTGATGCATCAAGTCACGATGGATCACACATGATTCTTATTCACAGAGCGCATAACGCTCGCTGGACGCTAGTGCCATGCACTGCGCGCTGGTAAGCTACTAAAGTCTGCAGTCATTCGTGGTCAGTTGTGTGCCAGCGGACAAGTCTTGGGATTTCAGTGAACGCTGTACGCGTTGACGAAGCCTCGTGAAACGTAGAGTTGAGGGCACGGATTGAATGAAAGGATGCGTCTCAAACAGGAAATATAAAAGGGAGAACACGTCCTATCGAAAGATGTTATGAATTAATCACAGTAATAACAAGTAGTGTAATAAAGGAGCCGTGATTCAAGAGTGTCGATAAAAATGAGGGCCTAGGCATTTATAGGCACGAACAGAGCTAGCCGAGAACCACAAGAACAGGTTGGGGCGGTCCGGTTGGCGAAAGCTACGGAAGCGCCGCGCGTATAGGTTTGGGTTCGCGGAGTGGTTCACGACCGAAGAACTTGGCCAAGCATGGACTTCCGAGAGTCGAGGGCAAACGCGCTGTAGTCGAGCCCAGTATGGAAAATGGGAATTTCCTTATACCACCCCCCCTTCCGGAATGAGACTATCCACATTCGGGACACGTCGTCAGTGCAAATAGTCCCGGACAACTCTGTGTTCGTCGAGCGTAGCTGCAGGAACTCAGAGGTCGTCGTCACTTGTACGATCTACCCATCGTACAAGGAAATCGACGGCTGCTGTATCTCTATGTCCCCGTACGCGATGAGCGAGAATCTTGGACGGCTCAATCGTTGGCTCGGGTACTGGGTTGACCGTAGGATTGATGTGTTGACAGTCGAGATAAGTCGTACTCGGGACGAACGGTTGTAGGAGACTAACGTGGAACGAATCATGGATTCGCCAATCGGTCAGCAGTTGCACCTGGGCTGTAACTGGTGTCACCATGCGAATGATGTGGAAGGGGCCGCAAAATCTTGGTCCTAATTTATTTGGGAGGGGAATTCCCGAATTCCTGGTATCGAGCAGGACTTATTGTCAAACATATCTTTGTACGTTGTTATAGACTGCACAGGGTTGTGCCTTAGAGAGTACAACCCACTAGGTTATATTTCATTGTATGCAATGGTTCTAGTTATCGTTTACTTTGATATGGTATCATGAGTAGGTTAGGTCCCCTCTGCCCACTAGCGCTTCCGCCATAGGTCCTAGCCGCCTTGTCGCCCTCCCGCCCGTGCTGGCCCGTCCCCTAGGGGCCCCCGTCACCTAGCGCCCAATTGGCCCCGTTGCCTAGTCGGCCCCGTCGCCAAGCCGCCCCCATCGCCTAGTCGGCCCCGTAGCCCAGCCGGCCCCGTCGCCCAGCCGGCCCTGTCGCCTAGCCGGCCCCGTCGCCCAGCCGGCCCCGCCGCCTAGTCGGCCCCGTCGCCCAACCGGCCCTGTCGACTAGCCGGACCCGTCGCCCAGCCGGCCCCATCGCCTTGCCAGCCCCGTCGCCTAGTCGGCCCCATAGCCCAACCGGCCCCGTCGCCCAGCCGGCCCTGTCGCCTAGCCGGCCCCGTCGCCCAGCCGGCCCTGTCGCCTAGCCGGCCCCGTCACCCAGCCGGCCCCGTCGCCCAGCCGGCCCCGTCGCCCAGCCGGCCCCGTCGCCTAGCCGGCCCCGTCGCCTAGCCCGCCCCGTCGCCTAACAGGCCCCGCCGCCTAGTCGGCCCCATCTCCCAGCCGGTCCCGTCGCACAGCCGCTCCCGTTGCCTAGCCGGCCCCGTCGCCCAGCCGGCCGCGTCGCCCAGCCGGCCCCGTCGCCTAGCCGGCCCCGTCCCTTAGCCGGCCCCGTAGCCTACCGGCCCTGTAGCCTGGCCGGCCCAGTCGCCTCGCCGCCCCCGGCCCGCGGCCCGGTCTCCTAGCTGCCACGTGGCCCCCTGTTGACCAGCCGCCCCGCGACCTCGCCGCCCAGCCTCCTTGCAGCCCCCGTCCCTCAGCTGCCCCTGCAGCCCCCACCTCACTTCTTCGGCCCTCTCCCCCGTACTGCACCGCACACCACCGCACTGTACCGTATTGCACCGCACCCTACCATACTGCACCTCACTCTACCACCGTCTACCGCATTGCACCGCACACCACTCCTTCCTGCCGCTCTCTTTTTGCTCATTACAGCCTAGTACTGCCTTTCTGCTGCTGCAGCGACCATGATGGCGGGCTCGGTCCTGCGCTTTGATGCGGAGGGTCAGCCGGTTGAGTTCGACACGTGGCTCGTTGACCTCCGCCGCCACCTCACTGGTCAGTGGCATGACGGCCACTCCCTGGCCGTCCACATCGACGGTACGCTCCCTTGCTCTGACCCCCCCTACTGCTCTACGCGCTGACCCCTCGTCTGCTGACCGTTAGTCCATTGCCGCTGCTGCCCTTGCCTGTGCTGTCTGGTTGTCGCGTGACGCTATCCCACAGCTCGCGATTAGTCATGCCCTCCCCCTGTCTGAGCGCCCCCGGCTTTAGGTTGGTCAGGGTTGCACAGGAGTTCCTAGAGGCTGTTGTCGCGCGCTATTCCACCCTGCCCTCAGCCTTCGTCGGTCGCCTAATCTTGCCCATGCTCTTTCCGGATCTCGCGTCTTTCTCTACTGTCGCTGACCTGGCCGCCCACTTGCGCACGCTAGACACGACCTGGCGCACTGCCTGCAATGAGGCCCAGCTTCGTGCGTTTCAACCCCCCATCTGCTCTACAATCTACCTGCTTGCCATCCACCTCCATGACCGCCTTGCTACCACCCGCGATCACTTCCTTAGTCTCCACCCCACTGACCGCACCCTTACTGACCCTGTCGACACCCTGTCTGCCATAGAGACTCGTGAGCGCCCAGTCTAGGGGTACTATGCCGGTCACTATCTTTCAGGCATATGCCCTTACTCTGACGGTTGTGCTGTTGTCGCTGAGACAACCCCTGCAGCGGAGACAGGCTCCACGGTTGCCGCAGCGCAGTTTCGTCCAGGTAAGGGTCGCCGCCCCAAGGCCGGGCGCGGCGGAGGTAGCGGAGGAGGGGGTGGGGGCAGTGGTGGAGATGGTTCGCCCACCGGTAGTACTGACGAGGGGGCTGGGGCTGGTGCCTCGGAGCAGCAGCCCCAGCAGCAATAGCCGCAGGCGCCGCAGCTGGACCAGCAGCAGCAGTAGCAGCCGCAGCGGCAGCAGTGGCAGGTCGGCCGTCTCTCGCCAGGGTGGACTGGAGCCGGTAGTGGAGGTGGTCGTAGTGGTTGTGTGGGCGGCGTGACAACGTGTAGTGGTCCGAGTGACGGGCGCTGCTAGTACCAGCTCCAGACCGGTACTCGTCGCGGCCTCGTGTGCGGTAAGATGGGCCATACCCCCACTCGTTGCTTCAGTCGCCTAGACGACCTATTTCGTCTCCGCTTTGGCCTGGCGCCAGACCTCCTTGACTGGCACAGTCTGCTCTACCGTGGTGTTAGGATGTTTGATATGGACATGGATGAGTATAGCTCTGCTTTGTATGTGCTGTATGCCGATGACTCTAGTGTGACTGGTTCCTATTACCGTGTGTTGCCTAGTGTTGTTGTGCACGGTGTGCCAAGTTCAGGCTCCCCTGCTTCATCAAGCGTAGCATCTCTTACCTTGTTTAGCCTTGGGTCCTCCCTCGCTCCTCCGACCCCTGTCGCCACTACCGCGCTCTCCTTCACCCTGGACTACGGCGCTTCCCGCAGTTTCTTTCGCGACTCCACTACGATTACGCCGCTTGCCGCTCCCGCCGCAGTTGCTCTTGCAGACCCTTCCTCTGAACGTGTAGTCGCCCGTAGCTCCACCTCCCTTCCCTGTGCGGCGGTTCCCTCGGGCTCCCTTACAGGCCTGCACATCCCCCCATTCTCTAGGAACCTAGTTGGTTTCAGCTGTCACTAGGACCTCGGCGTCACCACTACATTCCCTGGTCACGAGCGGTACGCTGTTTGTACCGAGGCCGCCACTGGTGCCCCCCTCACCACGTTCCCCCAGGACCCGGTGTCTGGCCTATTCACGCTGGACACCGCGTCCCCCCCGGTGGGGACATCTCCCCATGTGGCAACATCTATCCAGGTTCCTGCGGCTTGCTCGTGTTGATCGCTTACTCACCCGTCGCTTCTGTGACACCACCGTCTAGGTCACCCCGCTCTCACCCGTCTCCATCACATCTCCTAGCACAGTCGTGTCCTAGGTCTCCCTGAGTTGTTCCCTGCACTCCCCTCCTCACCAGCGCCACCGTGCATGCCCTGCGTCGAGGGCCGGCTCTGCCATGCCCCTCACTCCTCCTCGTTCCCCCCCACCGCCGCACCGTTGCTGACCCTGCACATAGACGTCTTGGGTCGCGCCCCGCGTCGCGAGCGCTACTTCCTAGAGCTTGTCGACAACTACACGCGCTACACTACAGTGTTTCCCCTAGAAAAGGCCGACGTGCATGATGTTTTTATCCCGTGGCTTGTCTTTCCGCATGTGCACCGAGGTCTCCCTATGTTGCGTCTTCACTCTGACCGCGCTGGCGAGTTCGCCCCTGGTTGCCTTGGTTGTTTCTGTCGAGCGGAGGGCATCACCCAGACGTTCACTCTGCCGGACTCCCAGCAGCAGATTGGGGTCGCTAACGACGCATCGGTTTGGTCATGGAGGTGGTTCGTACCTCCATGATCCATGCCGGTGCACCCCATTTTTTGTGGTCATTCGCCGTTCGCTACGCCGCTCACCAGCTTTATCTGTGGCCGCAGGTTTCCCCGACCCTCCTCTGGACCGGGTCCCCTGGTGACGCGTCTGCGTTCCACGTCTGGGGCTGCCTTGCTCACGTTCATGCCTCTGGCATAGACAAGCTCACTGCCCGCACCGTCCCCTGGGTCTTCCTAGGTTTCCCTCTCGACTCGTCCGACTGGCACTTCTACCACCCGCCGTCTCACCGCTTCTTTCACTCCCATGATGTCACCTTTGACAACTCCGTCTCCTTTTACCACCGCTTTCCCCACCGTGGTCCCCCGGTTACCCCCCCCCTATTCCTGGTTCCTCCTCCTCCGGTCGCCTCGGCTCCCCCCCCTCCCCTCCCTGCCCCGTCTGGTGTGTCCCACGTCATCCCTGCCAAGGAGTCTGCTGACTCTCGCGGCTCTGTGGAGTCCCTCCCTTCGCCCCTCTCCGCCCTGGTCTCTCCCTCCCCGTCGCTGCCGTCGTCACCGCCGCTGGGGTTCGTGCGTTCTGGGGGTGCTGGGGAGCGTACTGGAGCGGGTGCTGGAGCGGGTTTACATTCTGGGGGTGCTGGCGTCGAGCTTCTTGGAGGGAGCCATGCTGTCGCCGGAGGTTCTTGTGTTGGAGTCGAGCACCAGCCCCGCCAGTCGCCGCCGGTGTCCGCTCTTCGCCTCCTCGATCTTCCTTCCCTTGATCGCCTGCCGGTGCCTACGCCGCCGCCGCCGCCTCCTCCTCCGCCGGTCTACGACCCAGTGTTTCCTCCTCCGGACTCCTTTCCAGCTCGTTTCCCTCCCCGTTCTCCTAATGTGTATCCCCCCCTCTCTCCTGACCCGACTCCTCCATCTCATGTCTGGTCTCGTCGTCCGTCTCGTGCTCGTCCTACCTCCCCTGTTCCGCGTTCTCACCCTATGTTGCTTCGCTCTCATGCGTCCCGTGCTCCTCCTCTCCTCCCGTCTCCTCCCCCGTTGTCGCTTGCAATGGCCCCGCCTCCGTTCTTCGACTTCCTCCGTGCTGCACGTCCCCTCTTTCCTCGTGTCCTTGCCTCTCTTATTACCGACCCGTCCGTTCCTGTCTCAAGTCTATCGGCTCTTTTCGCTGCTGTCACTGACTTCGCCACTACCCTCCGCCTGGACTACGCCACCGCTCTAGTCTCTGACCCTGCCTGCCCTCCGCCCATCGGGGGTATGGCTGCCCTTGGCAGTGACGTCCAAGAGGACAGGCAGTACGAGCTCGCTTTCCTGTCTGAGGCCGCTCCCCATCTCTGTTCCATACTACTAGTCCCTAAGGGTGACCCAAACGCCCTTGACATCCCGACCCCTCGCACTTACGCTGAGGCCACCTCGGGACCCTGGGCCTCCCAATGGATAGCTGCCATGGAGCAGGAGATGGCATCTTGGAGATCCATCGGTACCTTCGTCGATGCAGTTCCCCCATGTGGGGTGAACGTAGTCGATGGCCGATGGCTCTTCAAGGTGAAGCGCCCTCCTCGAGAGCCGCCTGCCTTCAAGGCACGCTATGTTGCTCGAGGCCTTAGTCAGCGAGGGGGTAGACTTCTTTCAGACCTTCGCCCCGACCCCGAAGATAACTACTCTTCGGGCACTGCTACACATAGCAGAACAACGTGACTACGAGTTACACTCCCTCGATTTTTCTACAGCTTTCCTCTAGGGCGGTCTACTCGAGCAGGTCTACCCCCGCCACCCCCAGGGTTTCTGGAGTACCTTTCCCCGTGGTACCGAGTGGCTCCTCTGGCGCCCCGTCTACGGCTTGCGACACGCGCCCCGTGAGTGGCACGACATGCTGCGTGCTACACTTGCTGATCTGCTGTTCTTCCCGTCGTCTGCACACCCCTCACTCTTTGTCCGTTCCGGCTAGAGTCCGTTCTACATCCTTGTCTATGTAGACGATCTGAATTTTGCTACTGTTGACAGAGACGCGCTGGCCTCCGTGAAGGCCGAGCTGCTAAGGCAACACACCTGCACTGACCTAGGAGAGCTGCGCTACTACCTTCGCTTGCACATCTCCAGGGACAGAGCAACGCGCACCATCACTCTCTCACAGTCACACTTGGTACGCCAGGTCCTTCAGAGGTTCAGCCTTCAGTTCTCTTCTCCATAGCCCACCCCTCTGCCAGTAGACCACAGACTCTGTGCTCCATTCCCGGAGGAGACTATAGAGCCTGGTGGCCCCTACATAGTACTGGTGGGTTGCCTCATGTACCCGATAACTTGCGCTCGCTTTGTGGCCACCGGCAGACACCGACCACAGCACTGGTCGGCCGCTAAGACGGCTTTGCGTTATCTAGCAAGTACATCGGGCTTGGGGCTAGTGCTAGGAGGACGCAGACCTGTGGTCCTTACGGGGCACACTGACGCTTCTTGGGCCGACGACGCCGAGACTCTTCGGTCCTCCCACGACTACTGCTTTAGCCTTGGTGCAGGTGCTGTCTCGTGGCGGTCCACCCGCTCTAGCCTGTTGCCTAATCTAGCTGTGAGGCTGAGATCTTTGCCGGTGCCATGGCGTCACAGGAGCTCCGTTGGTTGACTTTCTTGCTCACAAACTTAGGTGAGTGGCATAGCTCTGCATCGGTCCTGTACGCTGACAACAGGGCCATAATCCTCTTGTGTCAGGAGCCCCGACTCGAGGGCAGAGCGAAGCACATCCAGCTGCAGTACTTCCTTGTGCGCGAGCTACAGCAGTGTCACCAGGCCCGTGTAGTACACTTGGCCTCCGGTGCCAACACAGCTGATAACTGTACGAAGGCGCTTGCGCCTAAAGATCATCTGCGGCACTGTGTACAACTTGGTCTTGTTCCTGTAGCCTCTCATTTGCTAGGACCATGATTGTGTACAGACCTTTATATATATTACCCTTACTGGCCTTGTGGCCTCTTCCCAGTGGCTGGACTAGTAGTGCCGCCCTGGTTTTGCTCTTGCCTTGTCTGTACTCGTTTGACTATCTTTGTATGTTATTATAGACTACAGAGGGTTCTTCTTCTTCTTCTTCTTCTTCTTCTTCTTCTTCTTCTTCTTCTTCTTCTTCTTCTTCTTCTTCTTCTTCTTCTTCTTCTTCTTCTTCTTCTTCTTCTTCTTCTTCTTCTTCTTCTTTCTTCTTCTTCTTCTTCTTCTTTCTTCTTCTTCTTCTTCTTCCTTCTTCTTCCTTCTTCTTCTTCTTCTTCTTCTTCTTCTTCTTCTTCTTCTTCTTCTTCTTCTTCTTTTCTTCTTCTTTTCTTCTTCTTCTTCTTCTTCTTCTTCTTCTTCTTCTTCTTCTTCTTCTTCTTCTTCTTCTTCTTCTTCTTCTTATTATTATTCTTCTTCTTCCCGTTTTTGTCAGATCCATCAGACTATGGCTTGCTCTGCCATCAACAAATATTTTGATGCGGGTGTCACCAATTCTTCCTTCAACCAGCACAGGGCGATCAATTGGTTAACCTTTTTGATTCAGCCAGGAATGGTCGATAGCCCAAATCGGCACTATAACCTGGTTGGGGTAGTGGCGTTTGGGCGACGTAGTCAAGTCAGTAGGTGGCCTATCGACTACTGACAATCTCCATTTCCCGACTGGTTCCCGTCGTTAGCTGAGTTCTTATTCAGCTACATGCAGTCCCTCAACATGTGGCCCGGCTGGTTGCAGTGGAAGCAGCATCCGAAAAATACCCGGGCTGCAAGCACGTCCACGCTGTTGATTGATGTGTCTTGGTGCTGGCCTCGAAAGCGATTTCACTCCCTGAAACCCGCCCTCGCGAGTCCACGCCTTGCGTCCAGCGCATCTGCAATTCGGACAACTCGTTTAATGTCGCAGGGGCTCGCAGGACAATCTCTTGCTGAATCTCTGGCTTGAGACCACCCACGTAGCGATCGATTCGCTCGTCTTCGCTAAGCCCTCTCATTTGATCGTATAGCACCAAGAACGAAGCCATGTATTCTTGGACAGAGCCCAACTGTCTCTACATCCGAAGCCTTCTACGAGCATTTTCGCACATGGATATGTGCTCGAATCGGCTCTTCAATGCTTCGCCCGACGCTTTCCACGTGCGGATCATGGCCGATCCAAGACCGGTTCTGCCTGAGCCGTTGATGAACTATGCTCCCCATCTACCGCCCATTGATTCCCTGCCGGGGCTCCTCCCTCGTCCAGATGCATGCGCCACCAGTCGAGTGCCGGTCCCCTTAGCAGCGACACAACCAATTTGACACGTGATGCGTTGTCATTAATACTTGCTGCTGTGATGAAGATTTCTATGGCGCATAGCCAACCGCTTACTGTAGTCGTTCTGTCGGCCGGTTTGAACGGCGGTGGCATCGGAGGTTTGATTTTAATGGCTGCCCGTGGCTCGCTGTGGACTTCTTCAATTGCTTCAGGTGTCGCTGACGCCCTCGCTTCGCTCGCAGCATCTTCGTCTCGGGTTACAGGCCGCCCCTGACGCGTTTCATCCTGCGCCTGGCGAAGCGGCGAGTTTTTGTTGCGCAGCGTCTGCACTTCGCTTCCCAGCGTCTCGTACTTCTCGACGAATTGTTCAAAGTTGGGCCTGGAGTGTCGTCACTCTAGCCGCCCTAGCTTGCAACTCGTCAAAATCTCATAAGTTACGTTCCTAACACTACTACGGGCAGAGGTTTCCGGCGTGGTAGGCATGCTGGAAATTTTACCTGACAGATCTGAGGGTGCACACGCTTCTAGTTGGAGGAGCTTTAACAAGCTCACCTACCAATCGCAGGCCAACCCTCTATTCTGTGGGGTCCTCTCTCGATATAAACCGACTACTCTACGGAAGACTAAGCGGGCACGAATGGGGCTCTGATACCAGATGTTATGAATGAATCAGAGTATAACAGGTAGCGTAATAAAGAAGTCGTGATTCAAGAGTCTCGATACAAATGAGGGCCTAGGCATTTTTAGGCACGAACAGAGCTAGCCGAGAACCACGCGAACAGGTTGGGGCGGTCCGGTTGACGAAAGCTACGGAAGCGCCACACGTCTAGGTTTGGGTTCGCGGAGTGGTTCGGGACCGAAGAAGTTGACCGAGCCTGGACTTCCGAGCCCGTACGCGCTGTAGTCAAGTCCAGTAAGGAAAAAGGGAATTTCCTTACAAAAGATAAGGCCGTGTAACATTTTCTGGAACAGCTTCCGAGTTGAACTTTCACCACATGGCACCATGCTTTTTCTACCGCTTTAAAGCGTTTTGAAAGCTCGACCTTGAGGTGTGTTCGTAAATAATTTTCCACGCACCGTCAAACAACAGTCCGATCTGCCAAACCTGGGCCCTTACCTCACCCTCCCCCTTCACAACAAACACTCTGAACCTCCCGAGTCACATTTTCCAAACCAGATGCCCTCGTCCGGTCGGATCCTCTTGACATTGATTACTAGGGCGTGCTACATACGATCACGGACGGAGAACAGTTCGAATGGTCAGAACGGTACAGTAATTTAGAGAACGTTGCTGCCATGTTTCAGCAAGATACTCGCGTGCAGGCCCCCAAATTGCAGACTTTTTACTATGATTCAGACTTTTTTCAGAGTTTTTTTTTTGGTGTACTCTGATTGCAAAGACTTTTTTTGTACCTTACTCTGATTTTTCAGAGAACCTTTTTGTACCTACGCTGATATTTCAGACATTTTTTACTAGTGTACTCTGATGCCTCAACCCTATATGGGGGGTTGACTCTGATTCTGTGTAATACCGATATTTATGGGGAGCGTGGTTAGTGCTGCTACCCCTGTGGAGGGCGCTGGCGTGATGCTTGCTGGGGGCTTTGTGAGGTCGCGTACTGTCCCTTCACCAAAATCAAAGGTCAATGTGTACTGGGGGCTGTGTGAGGGAGCTGATTGGCCCTTAACGAAAATCGAAGGCCAATCGTACCGGGGGCTGTGTCAGGGAGCTGAATGGACCTTGGCCAAAATCTTTGTGCTGGAGGCGGTGTGAGGGGTCGATTGGCCCTTCAGAAAAATTGCCGCTGTCTGCTGCGGACTGTGTGTGCGAGGGCGCCCATTGGCCCTTCACGTGGTTGCCACCTGGATGGCGTTTATTCCCCCCCCTCCCCTCCCTGCAATTTCGATACTCCTCGCCCCAATTCCTATCCGCCCCATCCCTGAAAATTTACCTGTACCATTACGTCGGCCCAATAAATTCAATTTTATTGGGCCTACATCGTGCACTCTGAACACGTGTTTGCGCTGCATCTCACGTAAAATTTGCCGACGTCAGGAAAAAAAATCCAGGAAATTTCACTCTGAACACACTCGTAGCACGAGCCGGGTCTTGGGTGGCGCGAAATTCTGCGATTTCGCCAGCACACAGACAGTTAAAGCAGAATAAGGGAGCATTCTGGAGCTCGTGTCAAAATCACAAGACCCAAAGTTGGGTCTACAAACCCCGCGGCTCCTGCAGCCGCGTGTCAGCCTAGGGTCAGACCTGAGGTGCGAAATTACTCTAAGAGAGCTCCTGGCATGCCAAGCCCAAGTAGTAAGAGTGAAAGAGTTCGGTGGACGAGGCTGAGGAGGTTATGCAGGACATTTATTGACGTGTTGTGTACAACAGTTTAAAAATCAGCATAAAAACAAATTAGTCCGATTTATCAGACAAAAAATATATTGTTACTTTGATTTTTCAGACTTTTTTTCCGAGGTGAGTCTGATGGCCATACCTGTAAGGAATTCCGATTCCTTACAGGGACTCGCCACAGCGAGTACCGCGAACAGTGCGGGTCCGCAGGCTCGGCCCTGGGTTATCGCGCCAAACCAGCCCCCGACGACCTTTTCGGCCCCAACCTGACCCCGAATCGCCCCGAGCCCGTTTTGACCCCGTCACCCTCGGACGACCGAGCCCTTGACTGGTCCAACCCTCGACATTTCGACCTGGTCAACTTGCACTATATAAGCCCTAGGTCTCATTATTCAAGAGGATTCTGTAATCACGTTCCCTTATAGTATTCTGCGCTATACTCTGAGTTATAATTCATAACAGCTGGTATCAGAGCCCCGATTATGCCCATCTAGTTTTCGATAGGGGAGCAGACCCTATCGGGGAAGGGGGCGGAAGGATGCTAATGGCGAGCGCACGTCGAGGAAATTAATTGCGCGGGCGTTGCCGATGCCGTCAGATCTTGTCCGATGGACGGCTGGGATTGGCCGGTCCTCCCCTTCCCCGGGCGTAGACGGGATTATTTCATGTCGAATAGGTGGCGACGTTTCCGCCGTGTTTTTCGGGTATGTTTGTTAGTGTTTCAGAATTTTCGGGAGTTTCTAGCGAAGTGTTCGGATTGGCTTCCGAAAATAGCGAGGAGTCGTCGGGCGGCCGGGAGTTGGTCGTCGCGAGGAGACAAGTGCACGGGAGTCCTCAGGCGGCCGGGAGATGGTCGTCAGGAACGCGCGGGGTGGCAAAAATGGCGGGACGCACCGCGATGGGTGTTTGTCGTGCCATGTAGCTGCATGGTGAAATGCAGTTGCGTCGCTGGCGTCGGCGTTTCCGGCAGGCTAGTTGCAGGCGATGGACAGGACTTCGACACTATTTCGGCAATGGGCGGATCCGACAAATTCGGAACGACGCGATCGCATGAAGTTGTGTGGGTGTGCAGTTGTGTGGGAGCAGCTGGGATTAACGACCTCGGCGCTATACACTACGACGGCCATCTGGAGGTGATGACGCTGTGCTGGAGTGAGTGTACTCAACGAGGGCGACTTCCCTCGTGGGGAGGCGTTTTTCATGGACCAGCGATTCATACCCCCACGATCAACGGAAACGGAGGCCACCACCCCTGGGTGTGTATTAAGTGTTCTTCTACCGGTCGCCGAATGCGTTACCTGTCAGGAGCTACGCAGTGGGAGAAGAACGACGGGAGTACTGGAGCAAATGGGTTAGCGGCGTTCGGGCTGCTACTCGCTCAGGTACGTCGCCCGGAAATCACCATTCCCACCAGGTAGCAGTGTCGACTTGTTAATCGAAGGCTCTTGGATGAATAAGGGGGGTGAACCTGCAAACTACACTATGCTGATGGAGTGTCCCTAAAGAAGAAAACGAAAGAAAAAAAAAATAAATAAAAAAGGGGGAGTTACTGCTGCAGTGGAGCTGAGGGAGTTTACCTGGTGCGGCAGAAGGAGGTTCCGACTTTTGCGGGTGTAGTTTGACGAGTTTCCGACAGAGGCGGGAGCGGTCCAGCGGTCAGTTGGCGAGCTCGTTAAAGCTCCTCTGACTCGAAGCGTGCGCACTCCTATCTCTGCGGATTCTCCTAGTTAGTTAAGCAGCAGCGAAGCGGTTTTGGGTAATCTGCAGCAGCCGCGAGATGGGTGAACGTCTGCACCGCTAGCTGGCAGGGGTACCAGAGTATTTGAACATTGGGTGATAGCTGGGCGGAGATCGACGGCGTATGATGCGCAGTGACCCTGATCGACGGCCAGCACATCATGTCGAGGCGGTGGACTCTGGTAAACCCTAAGATAAAGGGTTCAGTTCATGCGTACAGCTAGTGGAGAAACCGTCGGGGCGCTACTAAAGGACGCCGTGTCGCCTGGGCATTTCTACAGATAGTTGTGAAGCGGAGTTACGGTATCTACTAAGTACTGCGTGGTTCCGACATTTTCGGAGAGTTTGTGCAGCGGTTCAAGAGTTTTACAGCTGGAGTTGTGCCCGCCATCTTCAGGGGTACGAGCGACATCGACCGACATTTGCGCAGTATTTTGTTATATGGAGCAGAGGGGGAGCAATAGCAGTTTCGGCTCTTCCCGAAAATTTCGGCGTGTACGGACAAAAAGTCGGATGCGGCTGGTTTAATCTGAAATCGGGTTCTGTTCGAGGATATTCACGGGAGTGGTTTCGGTATAAGTTACAGGTCCTCGCCAACGTAGTCTTCCTCTCGCCACCACCTGCTACCACCCCCATTCTCAACTCGCCCGACACTGTGAACACGACCCCACCGCATCCTCGCCACCCATCAGGAGCAGTATCGGATTTAACATGACATTTTGCAGCAGTACTGTGGAGCTGTGTTGGGACCAGCTCGCAAGCTGTGTTAAAAAAAATAGTGTGGGAGTCTTCTGACGTAGTTGTTGTGGGATTTCAAGACTACTGGAACGGTTCTACCCTGCGAAGACATTTCAAGTTTGGAGCATCATTTGGTACTTTTATCGATTGGAGTTTTGCAGCGGCATCCTGGAAGCTGAGTTCTGGGGTTTTCAGCAGCAGTTCGGGCTTATTTCAACGCCCCCGGAGCCTTGGGTTTTCTTCGGTTTTACTTGGGATATTCGGAGCTGCTTTCTTTTGAAGAGGGGAGAAGGGCAGCTGTGCTGCAATTTTCCGACGATTTTCCGGCGTGTTCCATTAACCATTTGCGACCGACATTGGTCATCGTTACGCTTCCGCGCCTGATTTCGTCACTTCGTTGATGGAGTTCGCTGACTTTCGTGGGACACGAACGCGTGCTCTCGCATGTGACTCGAACGACCTCGCATTTGACGAATGGGTTCTTCATTTCATTGACCATCACGATATTCGCCCGTCATCATTTCAAGAAATTCAGCTGCCACGCACCATCATCAATCGACCACTCGACGGTTTCACTGTTCATTGTCTTCCGCTGGAGTATTTACCCTTGCCCGTTTGGTCATCAGAAGAATTCGACCATCTTCGACGGCTGAGATTAAAAGCGATCGTTTCGACGCTTTCTGACAATCGATTTCAGTTCGACCTCAAGACCTCGTCAGGCCGGCGTAATCATTACGCTCGTCACAGGGTTGAAGACTTACAGTCACTTCGGGGATTAAATTATATAAAAGGTTCGACCTCGATAAAGGGAGGGCTTTCCTTTAGAAGGGGGGAGAGTGTAAGGAATTCCGATTCCTTACAGGGACTCGCCACAGCGAGTACCGCGAACAGTGCGGGTCCGCAGGCTCGGCCTTGGGTTATCTCGCCAAACCAGCCCCCGACGACCTTTTCGGCCCCAACCTGACCCCGAATCGCCCCGAGCCCGTTTTGACCCCGTCACCCTCGGACGACCGAGCCCTTGACTGGTCCAACCCTCGACATTTCGACATGGTCAACTCGCACTATATAAGCCCTGTTGTGATAAAATGAAGTTTTGCATTCCTGCAAGTTCCATTATCAGTGTAGTTAGCAGTATCGAGTTTCTCGGTAAGGAAACAGGTCCGAGTGCTGACGTCAGCAAAGCATCGCGGGTCTCGTGATTACGTCAGCATATGGTTTCAGTTACGCGAATAGGCGTAACAAACCGCTTAAAACCACAGGCTAGAATAGCACACCTGAGGAGCTCTTGAAAAAATGTTTTGTTTAGGTGCAGGCTTTGGTGCGTTTTCTATTTCCGAAATGGTATGGGACCCGAAATTGTCTGTAATGCGAAGTAGCTTTGCTACGTTATTGGTGCGCGACGATTGATTTGGCGTCAGATGCTCGGCGGATGAAGTTGCGACTGACCGCTCACACAGCTCAGTTTTTTCAAGAGCTCCATGGGTGTGCAATAGGTTTTTAACCCGAGGTTCAACAAGGTCGCATTTCGCGTAACCCATGTGGCTGTTCGGCTCACAAGTTGCACAGTTCACATTTGCCCTAGTCGCTGTCGCTGTCGCTGTCATGTGCCTCGTAATGTGACGCTTGAATACGAACGCCGAATATATCCGAGGTACAATATGTTTTTTCCGTTTCACCAAGCTGGCGAAAAGTCAAATGATTCGCGCACGCGTTTCCCGCCTCGTCGCACACGCGTCAAATCGGCACCACTGCGTTTGTATCATTGTTCAGCTGCCCAAAAAACGCACCTCGCAAAATCGTACTGGGAACCCGTTTTCTTTCAAAGGAACCATCTTCAAGAACGGCGCTCTTGAAGCCCCCCCTATGCTATTTTAGCCTGTGGTTCTAAGTCACGCGAACAGTCGCGACCCTATAGTATGACGAATAGGTCGCATAGCGCGATAGTGACGAACAGGTACATTAGCGAACAGATACTTTCCATAGAGCTATAAATTCTTGTAATGCCTTTTTATTATTAACCTTGACTTTCCCCAGAATTATGTGCTCAGGTTATTCAACCTTCGACTACCCACAAGTTCATGTGCTCAGGTTCACTCTGATAAGACTTCCGCTGTCTTACTAGTCTACCATTCCAGCAAAGATCCTTGGTTAAGTACTCGTGTTAGCAGATTCTATACTTAGTCTCCTGCAACACCAGACGATTGATTTCAAGCCCTATGTCTCATTATTTAGGAGGATTCTGTAATCACTTTCCCTTTTAGTATTCTGCGCTATACTGTAAGTTATAGTTCATAACAATACCAAGGGATGGGAGGCAAGTCTGATGAATCAGACACCTCCAAAACCAATTTGGGGGCCTGCTCGCGTGGTACAGCGTGGTCCAGTTACGTGATTGGGAAGTCGCTCTTCTATTTACCACCCCCTCAACGCGTGGTATGTAGGCTTTCCCAAACCAGAATTGCGCGACGGGTTGCGGCGTTGGCGAGGAAATTGCGACAGAACATCGAGATGTTTGCGAACAGTGTAACCAGACCAGATTGCACAACTCAGTCGGGCTGCGCAACCCTAGGCTCCACGCCCTTACTGCCCTGAATGACTCCTTCCGCCCACCCTAGGCTGCTTCGCCGTGCCTCTGCCCTTTTGCTACAGTGCTGACCTTTTGGCTCCTCGCTGGGTGCCGTCCGTTTGGTCGGAAGGAAAACGTGTACACCTTTTCCCCTCTATGGTCTCACCCCGAACAGTCCAAATTGCAATCTCACCTACCAGGTTCTCAGCATGACTCGCGTTGACACTGAACCTGATTGGCTGCAGTCTGAACGATAACGAACTACCAAGTTGTATTTCAACAATTGCGAGATTCAGAGCTGGAACGTCGCGCAGGCAACCAATCTAGTGCATGAGCGAGATTTTGTAGCCAAGTGTCATTGCTTACTGTGGGATTTCCCCTTCGAAGTCCCGTGTGCCCGTGTTTTACAATTTCCTGCTTACAGGCTCAAGCCGCGTGCAAAAACCGTGGAACTAAATAGGAGAACAGGTGTAGTTATGTGCTCCTTCCTCCCCTACCAACCAACCGCCTTTCGCTCCACCTTAATTTTTCTCCTCCCCCTCATCCCCCTCACGACTCTAAGTACCGCGTCCTAATTACACTGCAGTCTGATTCTCCACCCTCACCCCAACCAACTCCTCACACCTTGTGTTGCGGCGCGGGTTCAGGTTACCGATTCAAGTGCAGCTCGCCACGGCTGGTTTACCAATCTATTTGCCGGCCGTTTTTCGAACTGCAGCATATAAGGAAATACGGAGAACTCTACTTGTTCGGAAATCTCAGTTACCATCTCGCCCTAGCAACAGCGTCGTTCTCGCCCTTTTTCCCCCCACGGTTGCGATGAGTACCGAGAACGCGCGTTCGCTCTGTGCCCTTCCGGACGATGTCGTCCTCGTCATTCTCAATCGAGTCGGCGATGTCAAGTGTGAGCAACGGCTTCGTCGAGTCGCTGCGACAGGCCATTCCCGCGTCTTCGCCACGCGCTCCGACCTCCTACTCCTTTTTCGTCCTTTCACTTCCTTCTGTCGTGTCTCTTTTTCAGAAGTCAATGCTTCCCGTAATTTCCCCCTTCGCCCACCATCCCCCTTTCCCCCCCTCCCCCCCCTCCCCTTCGTCCCAAACATTGAATACCCGTTTGACCGTTTTTCACCCTTCCCTGTTTTTCACCCTTCCCCGTCTTTCACCCTTTCCAACGGCCTGGTTTCTTCGTCCCCTGCAGCGCTCGGCGCGTGCGCCGCATCATGCCGCCGGCTGCGCGCCTGTGTGCCACGTGTCAGCACGGCAGTGGTATCCGTGGACAGCCTTTTAAAGGCGAGAGCAGCGGACACTACAGGGCCCGCATCCTCCTCTGCCTCTTCCTCTGCCTCTTCTCCCTCCGCCTCTGGCTTCGGAAAGAGCAAGGCCATGACACAGCTGAGGAGCACGCTCAGCAACCTGCTGCGATCCTTCCAGGTGCTGCGATCGATCCTTCCAGGTGCTGTGATCCTTCCAGGTGCTGCGATCCTTCCAGGTGCTGCGATCCTTCCAGGTGCTGCGATGCTTCTTTTCCGGTCGGAAGTAGCGTTCTTTCTTCTTGTCACATAGGCTCATTCGTATGCTGCAGTGAACGTGTCTCTCTACTTTTCACACTCACGTTTCTCTCTCCCGTTTTTCCCCAGCCGTCCCGTAACCTCCCCTTCCCTGCCCGTTTCCGTCGGTCTCCCCGCCATTGCTCACAGCAGCGCGAGGACGAAGAGGCCAGCAGCGGAGGGTCGGACAGTCCCCCTCCGCTGGCTCAAGCCGGTCGGGGCGGCCGGGGCGACCGGAGCGGTCGGGCCGGTGGGCAGCGGGCGCAGCAGCAGCAACGGCAGTGCTTCGACGTGGAGGACGTGGTGCGGAGCTTCCCGCTGCTGCAGGAACTGCTCATCGTGCTGCCAGGTCAGTCAGACTCGACAATTCCTGGCAACCGGAGTACTCTGTAAGACATGCCAGGCAGGTCACTCCGGATCGGATCGCCCACTGCTTCCCTTTCCTCCCCACCCCCTCCCACCCGCCTTTCCCCACCCCCAACCCACCCCCCCCCACCCCCCCCCCAACACCCCTCCCTGCCCCCTTCGCCTTTCTGTCTCTCTCTTGCATCCGATTTTTACGTCTGCGCCTTTCCCTTTCCCCGTGCTCTTCTCATGCCCCCACTTCATCGCACGCTATCCTCCTCAGTTTCTTTTGCTTCACTCACTCGTCCCTGCACCCACCGCTCTCATTACAGACTGCGAGTTCACTCTGGACCGAGAAGCGGCGCTCAGATGGTACGCTGATTTCGACGAGACGCTCTCCTCCTGTGCCATCGTTGCCGCTGACTCCATCTCCCTCCTCGCCCCCCTTACTCCTCCTACTCCCCCTACTCCTTCTCGTGTCCCTTCCCCCGCATCTTCCCTTCCTCACCTATTACCCACGCCTCCTCCTCCTGCCCCACCCCCTCCTCCGCCCCCTCCGCCTCCTCCCTCTTCTCCTCCCTCTCCTCCTCCCCCCATCTCTCTCCCACCCCATAATGCCTCCCTCTCGCCTCATCTGCCGTCACGTGCCTCCCCCCTCCCTCGCTCCTCCTCCTCCTCCTCCCCCTCACAGCCTCCCCTCTGGGCGCCCTTGTGGGGGTGGGTCTCAGCTGCAGGCTCGTCACACCGGCAAGCCGCTACCACGCATGCCCTGCATACTGGGGGCGACTCAACCCTTTCTCCAGGCTCAAGCATCCCCTCGTCCTCTCAGCCCTCTCAGCCCTCTCTGCCATCTCATCCCTCTGAGCTCTACAGTGGGAATTCCGTGTCTCCGTCTTGCCAGGAGAATGCGCAGGGGAGTGCGCGGGGGAATGCTGTTCCAGCAGGAAAATGGACGGCAGACAGGGAGCAGCGTGGTGGTGGCGACCGTGGAAAGGGACGGGACAAAGGGAAGGGGAAGGTGAAAGAGAAAGTGGAGCCCGGGAGAATCTCTGTGGAGACTGGGGGAAGGGGAGATGGAGGAGGGCAGTCGGTGCCAGGTGGGTGCATTGTGGCTCGGCTTGGCTTTTCCCGGGTGGTGGACATCACTGATTCCTCTCAGGTGCCTAACCGAACTGAGGGCCCAGCCAATAGGATGCCGCCACCTGTCCCTGCACGCTCTCTCGCCTCCATGTCTCGCCTGCTTGCTGCGAGCAGGAGCCGTGGGTTTTTGTCGGGTAATGCTGCAAGTGGCAGTGGTGGTGGCAGTGGCGGTGGCAGTGGCACTGGCAGTGGCAGCAGCAGGGATAGTAGCACCAACGGGAATAGGCCTAGTCAGGCAAGGGCAAGCAGTGCCAGCAGCAGCGCTAGTAGCATAAACGCTGCTGTTTCGACCCAGTCTAGCGGAATTGCTGCAGCAGGCGATGCAGTTAGGAGCCGCATCAGTGACAGAAGTGGCCTTAGCAGCAGCAACTGTGCCTCTCCAAACAGCCCTGTTAGTGGCAATGGCAATGGCAGAGGGAGTGTGAGCACGGCATGCACGAACAGTAGCTACTCGGATCACAGCAGACCAAGCGACCTGATTGAGTCCCTCAGGAGGAGTACCAGCGCCAGTGAAAGGGCTTCAGGGTGCTCCTCTGGTGGTAACACCAGCAGTGGCGGTCGCTGTAACCACGAGAATGCCTTAGCTAATGATTGTAGCAAGGGCAGCGGTGCTCACCATTCAAGCAGGAGGGTCTTTCCTGGCCAGACTGCTTGCGACACAAGTCTTCGCAGCAGTGCCAATGGAAGCGGTAGCAGTAGCAGCAGAAGCAGCAGTGAGAGGAGCACCAACAACAACCATGGGCCTCCCTCCCTTCTTCAAGTGCATGCTGCTGCATCCACACCCCCAGGCCCATCATGGCCGCAATTACCACTTACCCATTCCGCGCCATCTCTACCATCTGCTTCTGTTCGCTATTCCGCTCCAACTTCCCCCACTTCTTCCTGCTTCCCCACTCCATCCAACCGCCTTCGGCCATTCCGCCCGCCCCCCATCCGCCTCACGCCAAATGGGCTCAAGGAGCGCATTGCATGGACCATCAGTGCTGCTGTGGCGGCGTCGGCTCGCCACGAGCTGCTTAGGCGCATTGCAAGGCAGCTGCCAGAGCTGAAGCAGGTTGCCATTGCTGATGTGCAAGGCCAAGGCAGCCTCTCCCTAGGACCTGAACAGGTATGCTGAGTGAGGGATAAACCATAGCATGCATGTGTGTGGGTATGTGCATGGTTACCAGTTTGTAGCTTTGTGTGTAAATTATCCTTTTCCTCGTGTTGCAGCTTGCTTGCTTGCGCAGGGTGGAAGAGGATAAGGCGTCTGCGGATCCCAATTCCTATGCTCCTCGCACCCCACTTCCGACGTTGAAGATGCTTCTGTGGCACGCTCCCTCACTGACAGTTGGTGACATGGAGCTGACGGGTGCCACTCTAGTCATCTTGCGCAATGAAAAATTCAAGGTGGCGAAAGCAGGTGATCTGGGAAGTCAAGACGGTGGCATTTCTGGAGGCCCACACACTTCTCAGCAAGAACAGTTGAGTGGTTTTGAAGGCCGAGGTGAGATTGCGGAAAGGAGTGATGCAGAACATTGCCTGCGATCATTGTTGGCACCTTCAGATCCTCTTCTGCATGCGAGCTTGGAGCTGTTGCAGCTATCGCAGACACAGCGGTTTGAATTCAGTGCGTTCTAGTCACAACCATAAGTCTTAGAGCATGTTCCTATGAGCCTCTTCCCAGGCAACCTCTTCCCCGACTCGCGCGACCTTGATAGCGTGTTCCCAGGACCGCTTTTTGGAATAATCCTGTTTCATATTTGCGTTCCAACGCTCTCAACCACATCAAAGCAGTTGGCGTCGAAGATTTACAGTGCAAATTTGCGCTTGTCTGAAAATATGTTCGTCTGGAATGAGGTTTTAAAACACGCCCCTGAATCCCGAAGAGCCTTATCTCACTTCGCACTTAACGAACCGCACTGAAACGTTTCGCGAAAAAAAAAATGCGACACTGTAGCACACGAGTCTGGGAAGAGGTTGTCAAACATGTGTATTTGTCATGTTTGTATAGACTGTATAGGGTAGCGTCTTAGAGGGTACAACACTTAGGTATATCTGTGTGTACTCTCACTCTATCACATATTCACTTCTCCAACTTTGATATGGTATCACGCGTAGGTAGGATCCCCCCCCCACCTACCGCTTCCGCTCGCCCCCCCCCCTAGCCCCGTCGCGACCCCCCTAGCCCCGTAGCGCCCCTTCCTGGGCCCCGTCGCGCCCCTCCTGGGCTCCGTAGCGCCCCTCCTGGGACCCGTCGCGCCCCTCCTGGGCTCCGTAGCGCCCCTCCTGGGCCCCGTCACGCCCCTCCTAGGCCCCGTAGCGCCCCTCCTGGGCCCCCGTCGTGCCCCTCCTGGGCCCCGTAGCGCCCCTCCTGGGCCGCGTCGAGCCCCTTCTGGGCCCCGTCACGCCTTCAGGCCCCGTCGCCCCCGCCCGGCCCCGTCACGCCCGCCCGGCCCCGTCGCACCCGCCCGGCCCCGTCGCCCCCCTGCCCGGCCCCGTCGCAGCCGCCCGGCCCCGTCGCACCCGTCCGGCTCTGTCGCGCCCGCCCAGCCCCGGTGCGCCCCTCCTGGGCCACCGTCCTGCTCGCCCGGCCCCGTCGCACCGGCCCGGCCCCGTTGCACCAGCCCGGCCCCGACGCACCCGCCCGGCCCCGTCACACCAGCGCGGCCCCGACGCACCTGCCCGGCCCCGACGCACCTGCCCAGCCCCGTCGCACCAGCCCGGCCCCGTCGCGCCCGCCCGGCCCCGTCGCACCCGCCCGGCCCAGTCGCACCAGCCAGGCCCCGTCGCGCCTGCCCGGCCCCGTCGCACCTGCCCCGGCCCCGGTCCTCCTCACTGGTACGGTTCTCCCTCCCCCCCCCCCCCCCCTTGCCCTGCACTGCCCTGCACCGTACTGCCTGGCACCGCACTGCACCGCCCTACACCGCACTGCACCGCACTGCACCGCCCTACACCGCACTGCACCGCACTGCGCCGCACTGTACCGCACGGCACCGCACTCCACCTTGCTGCACTGCCCTGCACCGCACTGCACTGTTCCTGATGGCGGCAGAGCTTCGCTTCGACGCTGAAGGCCAGCCTCTGGAGTTCGAGGCGTGGCTTGCCGACCTCCGTCGCCAACTCACTGGCCAGCGGCAGGATGGTGAACCGCTTTCCGCACACCTTGACGGTACGCTCCCCTGCCCAGACCCCCCTGCTATTCTGCCCGCTGACTCCACACCCACTGAGCGCGAGTCCACTGCTGCCACTGCCCGTGCGCGCTCTGTCTAGCTTTCTCGCGATGCTGTCGCCCAGATTGCCATTAGCAACGCCCTTCCCCCGTCCGAGCGCCCTCGCTTTAGGTCCCTCACTACTACTCAGGCATACTTAGATGCTGTCATCAAGCGCTATTCCACCCCTCCGGCTGCCTCGGTGGGTCGCCTGATCCTCCCGATGCTCTTTCCTGACCTTGCATCTTTCCCCACTGTCTCTAACCTCGCTGCCCACCTGCGCTCGATAGATGAGACCTGGCGTGCAGCCTGCACTGATGCACAGCTTAGAGCCCACCAGCCGCCCATTACCTCTACCCTCTACCTGCTTGCCACCCGCCTCCCTGACCGCCTTGCTGTCGCCCGCGACCGCTTCCTTAGCATTCACCCCGCAGACCTCACCCTCACTGACTTTGTAGACACCCTGACTGTGATAGAGACCCGCCACCGCTCCATCGCCCAGGCGAGCGGTGTCGTGCCGGTCCCTATCTTTCAGGGTTGTGCCCCCGCCCAGTGTACCTTCTCCGACGGCTCTGCCGCAGTGGCTGAGACTGCTGCTGCAGCGCAGTTTCGTTCGGGGAAGGGCCGCCGCCCCAAGGCTGGGCGCGGCGGGGGTGCGGGAGGGGGTAGTGGTGGTGTCGGGTCGTCTGGTGCTGGAGCGGCCGAGGGGACCTTGCCCAGTCCAGCTGAGCCGCCGCCCCTGCAGTTGCAGCAGCCGCAGCAGCCGCCGCAGTCGCAGCCTTCGCAGCAGCCGCAGCAGCCGTCGCAGACGCGGCAGACGAGTGTCCTCCCACCCGGGTGGCCCGGCGCTGGCGGTGGCCGGCCGCGTGGTGGTGTGCCGAGTGGTGGCTCTGGCGGCGGGCGTTGTCAGTACCAGATCCAGACCGGTCCTCGTCGCGGCTTCGTTTGCGGTAAGATCGGTCACTCCACTCCCCGTTGTTTTCGTCACCTGGACGACCTTTTTTGTCAGCGCTTCGGCCCGTCGCCAGACCTCCCGAACTGGCACATTTTGCTTAGTCGTAAGATTCAGATTTTTGATATGGACATGGATGCCATTGTTTCTGCTCTGCATGTGATGTATGCTGATGACTCTAGTGTGCTTCCCACCTATTACTCACTGTTGCCTAGTGTAGGTGTGCCTAGCTTAGCCTCCCCTGCTGCGTTAGGCGTAGGATCTCCTGCTTTGTGTAGTCTTGGTGCTTCCGCCGTCGTTCCGTCGCCAGCCGCCTCTGCTTCGCTTTCCTTCACCTTGGACTCTGGCGCTTCCCGGTGTTTCTTCCGCGACTCCACCACCCTGACGCCGCTTCCTGTTCCAGCTGCCGTTTCTCTTGCTGACCCCTCCGGCGGTCCGGTAGTCGCCCACAGTTCCACCACCCTTCCCTGTCCGGCGGTTCCTTCGGGCACTCTCACAGGTCTGCATATCCCCTCGTTCTCCAAGAACCTAGTTGGTGTCGGCTGCCTCCAGGACCTTGGCGTCACCACTACGTTCCTTGGTCACGAGCGGTATGCTGTCTGTACCGAGGCCGCCACTGGTGCCCCCCTGTCCACGTTCCCCCGGGACCCGGTGTCCGGCCTGTTCACTCTGGACACCGTGACCCCCCGGCTGGAGCGCTCACCCAGGTTGCTGCTGCCTGCTCCTGTCGCTCCCTCACTCACCCGACCCTCCTTTGGCACCACCGCCTAGGTCACCCTGCCCTCCCGCGTCTGCGTCACATGTCCCAGCACGGTCTTGTCCTTGGTCTCCCAGGTTCCCTCCCCGCGTTTCCCTCCTCCCCAGCCCCACCTTGCACGCCTTGTGTCGAGGGTCGGCTTCGCCGTGCCCCTCACTCCTCCTCGTTTCTCCCTACCGCCGCGCCGCTGCAGACCCTGCACCTGGACGTCTGGAGCCCCGCCCCCGTCCCTGGGCCACGTCGAGAGCGCTACTTCCTTGTGCTTGTCGACGACTTCACTCGTTACACCACAGTCTTTCCCCTGGAGCGCAAGGCCGACGTGCCTGGCGCTCCCATCCCCTGGCTTGTCTCTGCGCGTGTCCACCGCGGTCTCCCTGTCTTGCGTCTTCACTCAGACCGTGGTGGCGAGTTTGCCTCAGGTGTCCTTGGTCGCTTTTGTCGTGTGGAGGGCATCACCCGGACGTTCACCCTACCGGACTCGCCACAGCAGAATGGGGTCGCTGAGCGACGCATCGGTTTGGTCATGGAGGTGGCTCGCACCTCCATGATCCATGCCGGTGCACCGCATTTTCTGTGGCCGTTCGATGTGCGCTACGCTTCTCACCAGCTTAATTTGTGGCCGCACCCTCAGCAGCTGCTTGTTTCGCCGACCCGTCTTTGGACTGGGTCTCCTGGTGACGCGTCTGCGTTCCACGTCTGGGGCTGCCTTGCTCATGTCCGTGCCTCCGGCACGGACAAGCTCACTACCCGCACCCTTCCCTGCGTCTTCCTCGGTTTTCCCCTTGACGCGTCCGACTGGCACTCCTTCCCCGGTCGTCCCTGCCCCTCCTCCCCCTCCTCCCCGTCCCACCCCCTCTGGTGTGTCCCACGTCACCCCGCTTCCGTCGGTGGACCCGGTTGAGGAGTCTTCTGACTCTGGTGGCCCTCCTGTTCAGTCCTCGCCGGCCGCCCCTCCCCTGGCGTCCTCTCCCCAGTCCCCCCCTCCACCCCCGCTGCCGCCGCTGCAGCCGTCGTTGTCGCGGCCGCCGCCGCCGCCGTCGCAGCACCCGTTCGCTGACTCTGGGGGTGCTCGTCCCGGTAGCCCTGGGGGTGGTCCCTCTGGGGGTGCTGGTGTGGAGAGTGCCGGTGGTAGCCGAGGAGCAGCTTGCGGTCCAGGTGTCGCCGTTGTGCCGCCGCAGCAGCAGTCCTCGCCGGTGTCAGCCCTTCGCCTGCTCGGCCTTCCGTCCCCCGACCCTGCGTCGGTTCCTCCCCGACCGTCTCCTCCTCTTCCTGTCTACGGCCCTGTCTTCCCTCCACCGGACTCGTCCCCTGCCCGTCTCCCCCCTCGTTCCCCTCCTGTGTCCCCTCCTCTGTCTCCTGACCCGACTCCTCCGTCGCACGTCTGGTCTCACCGTCCCTCCCGTGCTCGTCCTGCCTCGCCTGTCTTGCGCTCCCACCCTATGTTGCTTCGTTCCCACGCGTCTCGTCCTCCCCTTCTGCCGTCGGCTCCTCCGTCCTCCCTTGTTGTTGCACCCCCCCCGCTGTCTGACTACCTTCGTGCCGCTCGTCCCCTTGTTCATCGGGTCCTTGCCTCTCTCGTTACCGACCCGTCTGTTCCGGCCTCGTGCCTTGACGCTCTTGTCGCTGCTGTCGCTGACTTTGCCTCTACCCGCCGCCTTGACTACGCCTCCGCTCTGGTCTCTGACCCTGCCTGTCCTCCGTCTGTCGGGGGTGCTTCTGCCCTTGGCAGTGACGTCCTGGAGGACCGCCAGTTCGAGCTTGCTTTCCTGTCCGAGGCTGCTCCCCATCTCTGTTCCATGCTGCTAGTCCCTGAGGGTGACCCAGACGCTTTCGACATCCCGACCCCTCGCACTTACGCTGAGGCGGCCTCGGGACCTTGGGCCTCGCAGTGGATA